ATTAGTCCCTGTACTCTGTGGCACAATATCCTCAGGGAGAAGGAACTGTTGGTTTCCAGAGAAAAAATGTCTTAAAAAGACAAGGTCTTTGTGGGCTGCCTTTTGTTTTGTTGATGGTTTCCTTTGCTGTACAGAAGCTTTTTATTTTGGTGTAGTCCCAGTAGTTTAATTTTGCTTTTGTTTCCCTTGCCTCAGGAGACATATCTAGAAAAATGTTTCTACAGCCAGTGTCAAAGAAATTATCGCCTATGTTTTCTTCTAGGAGTTGTATGGTTTCAGGTCTCACATTGAGGTCTTTCAACCATTTTGAGTCTATTTTTGTGTGTGGTGTAAGGAAATGGTCCAGTTTCATTCTTCTGCGTGTGGCTGGCCAGTTGTCCCAACACCATTTGTTGAAGAGACTCTTTTTTTCCATTGGATATTCTTTCCTACTTTGTCGAAGATTAGTCATGGGTTTATTTCTGGCCTGTATTATGTTTCATTGATCTATATGTCTGTTTTTGTGCCAGGACCGTGTAGTTCTGATTACTACAGCTTTGTAGTATATCTTGAAATCTGGGATTGTTATACCTCCAGCTTTCTTCTTCTTTCTCGAGATTGCTTTGGCTATCTGTGGTTCCATACATATTTTAATATTATTTGTTCTAGTGCTGTGGAAAATGCTGCTGGTGTTTTGATAGGGATTGCATTAAATATATAGATTGCTTTGGGTAGTATGGACATTTTAAGAATACCGGTTCTTCCAGTCTATAAGCACAGAATATCTCCATTTGTTTGTGTCATCTTCAGTTTATTTCATCAGTGTTTTATAGACTTGGGAGTACAGTTCTTTCACCATCTTGATTAAGTTTATTCCTAGGTATTTAATTATTTTTGACACAGTTGGAAATGGGATTGTTAATTTCTCTTTCTGCTACTTCATAATATTAGTGTATAGAAACACAGCAGATTTCTGTATATTAACTTTGTATCCTGTGACTTTACTGAATTCATTTATTAGAAGATATTTGCCAAAGACATATTTGATAAGGGGTTAATATCCAAAATATGTAAGGAACTTATACAACTCAACACCAAAATAATAATAATAATAATAATCTGACCAAAAAAATGGGCAGAGGATCTGAATAGACATTTTTTTCCAAAGAAGACATCCAGATGGCCAACAGACACATGAAAAGATGCTCAGCATCACTCATCTTTAGGGAAATGCAAATCAAAAGCACAATGAGGTAATGACCTTACACCTGTCAGAATGGCTAGAATAAAAAACACAAGACAGAACAAGTACTGGTGAGGGTGTGAAGAAAAAGAGTCCTCGTGCACTGTTGGTGGGAAGGCAAACTGGTGCAGCCACTGTGGAAACACTATGGAGGTTCCTTCAAAAATTAAAAATAGAATTAACTCTATGACCTAGTAATTCCACTTCTGGGTATTTACCCAAAGAAAATGAAAGCAATAATTCGAAAAGATATATGCACCCTTATGTTTATTGCAGCATTATTTATGATAGCCAAATCATGGAAGCAACCAAATGTCCATCCATAGATGAGTGGATAAAGAAGATGTGGTGTATATACAATGGAATATCACTCAGCCATTAAAAAAGAATGAGATCTTGCCATTTGCAACAAGATGAATGGACCTAGAGATTATAATGCTGAGTGAAATAAGTCAGAGAAAGACAAATACCATATGATTTCACTCATATGTGGAAGAAACAAAACAAATGAACAAACAAAGAAAAATGAGACAAGCAAAAGAACCGCAGCAGACTCTTAAATACAGAGAACAAACTGGTGGTTGCCAGAGGGGAGGTTGAGGGAGATGGGGGAAATAGGTGATGGGGGTTAAGAGTACACTTATCGGGGCGCCTGGGTGGATCAGTCGGTTAAGCATCTGCCTTTGGCCCAGGTCATGATCCCAGGGTCCCAAGATCGAGCCCCGAATCAGGCTCCCTGCTCGGCGGGGAGCCTGCTTCTCTGTCTGCCCCTCACCCCACTCGTGCTCACACTTTCTTTCTCTCTGTCAGTGTCTATCTCTTTCTCTCAAATAAATAAAATCTTTTAAAAAAATTACACTTATGATGAACACTGAGTATTGTACAGAATTGTTGAATCACTATATATTGTGTACTTGAAATTAATACAACAGTGTATGTTAATTATACTTCAACTGCAAAAGAAGAAGAAAAAAAAGACAAGGTCTTTGTGAAGAAGCAACACTTTTGAGGCTTCTAGATTGAGATAGAAGAAAGACCACGTAGGACTGTGGAGCTAATATAATACAAAGCATCCATGTGAAATGAAGAGCTTTCCTGAAGGATACTTAGGAAGTTGAGGTGCCCTGAGATTCATTCCATGCACTTTGCTACAGCCCTACCATGGCTGTTACAGAGAGGTGCTCTCGGGGCACCTCAGTTAGCTCGAAGGATCCAGGCACAAATAATCACACCAAAACACAGATATCTCCATGTACATAGTCACCCACATACACACTCTTCTCCCGCACACATTGTTCTAGGGGATGGAGTCTAGTAAGACTTGTTTGGAAAAATATAAAAATTACAAGATCATTCCAAGAGATTGGTGATGGTGTTTCCACAGTTCTGCTCATTCCCTCGTGGAGCGTTTGTTTATTGCGTCATAACTAGTTTTAGTTATGATAATAGATCGAGAACTTCTCAAGGGCAGGACTGTTGAGGTCCCGGGTAGAGCATCTGGCCTATAGGAAGTTGCTTGCATGGTTTTCGTTTGTTGAAGGAAGTAATGAGTACGAGGAGTGGAGCCGTGGAGGAGCACCGCAGAACCCAGTCTGCTTTGCCTTTTTGGGAAGCCTCAGCTGGTGAATGAAGAGTGAAGGTCCAAGGGATCTCTCTTTTAGTTCTTGAAAGCAGAAAACGCTTCAAATGGATTTTAAAATGCCTTCAGAGATGTTACTAGAAAAACAAGAATGCTTTTTATCCAGGCTCAGCGGGTAACCCTCTCCTGATTCCGGGATACATTTTTTCCAGCTACACATGCAATTTTAAAGCACCATTTTTTGGGTGCTTGGCGCTGTGTGTGCTTTTATCCTACCCTGGCAAAGGAAGTTAAAGCATTGTCTGGCAGGTTTGCAAAAGAGCTCTTTTACGGACAGAGAATTTTGTTGTCAGTAGATTCCGTCTGCAGGGCCTGGGTCTGTGAGGGAGCTCTCGGTTTGAGGCACGTTGTCACATGCTGCGCTTCTTGTTCCTGGTCTCTTGTCTGTGTCTGAGAGCTCTGCCATCAGACTGGGTTTCAGAGGCAGCTCTCAACTTTCTTCCATGGGAAAGAAATAGATTCGCGGAACCAAGCCTGTGACCAGGAGGAGCCTTGCGTGCCTCTAGCCTTGGGTCAATATCATCTTCCCTGATAGTTCTTCCATCTGGAATTCTCTTCTTCCTCCTCTCTTCCTCTCCCCTATCCATCCTTCAGGCCTTGACCAGTCAAGGTGATAGGATTCGCTGTGCTTTCTGAATTCTCTGTGCTTGTTATCTGTGCCACAAGGTGTCATGATTTTATTTGAGCTCATTTTATTTCCCAAGTTTTTGAGCACAGGAACTGTATCTCCTACATCTTTGGCTTTCTCCCAGCAACCCCAGCTAGGCAGTCACTCCTCTTTGATGGCATTATAAAAAGCACTGAATAAATTGGCCTCTGCAGTTAGAGCTCAGGGACTTCTGGAAAGCTGTGATGTGTTGTTTGGGAGGTTAAGGAAAGTAGCGAATAGAGAGACAAAAGGAATTGAAAAAGGAAGGACATGCAAAATGTCAAAATGTCACAATATATCATCCCACCGGTAGAACCTTTCATTAACTCGCTTCCAGAAAACTGTTTAAACTGTGCACACACACACATATGTATACACATACGTGTACACATAAACACGTGTATATGCACATATATTTACATACACACACATTCACACACACATAGCTATACAGAATTTACGCACATATTACACACGTGTATATGTGGCAAACCCTCAGCAGAGTATCTTACCAGGTTAGCTTAGGTGTTACCATTTAGAGCACAGGACATGGACAAATAAATCAGCTTTGGTGGAGAGAGCGGGTCTGGACCAGTCCAGAGCCGGAGGCCTGGCCCCTAGAGGGCTGTCGGGGCCCTAGAGTGTGAGGTGCCAGGCGCCTGGGATAATCGGTCATGGAGAGGAGAAATGGGGAAGCAGTGAAGGCGATTTTGGGAAGGCGAGATACCCTAACTGTGCTTCTGCCTTGTCACTCCCTTCGGGTGTTAAGGAGGGTTTTTGTAGCTCTACCTGAAAGAAGGTCTTTTTGCCTTTGTTCATCCAGTCTTTAAGACTGTTTGTGTTTGGCACACACAGGAAAAGTCAGAGACAAGGATTCTAGTCCCACCCTCTCTGGACTTTAGCTTTCTTATCCGTAAAATGGAATTTCTGTCTTCTGTCCTTCATAGACTCCTTCTGGCAAAGAGGGGGAAGGACCCAGTGCCCTTTCCATGACACTAGGTGGCTCCAGGGGCTAAGCCTGTGGTAGATTGGACCTGTGGCCTCGTGCATCTGAGTTTTCATTCACTAGATCTGCTCGTTTACATTTCATTGTTTTCTTGGGAAGATAAATACAAACGCAGGTAATTGTGATGGCCAACCAGAAATGTCCTGGTGTCCCATCTCTGCTTTTCTTGGCAGTTCACTCAGTTTACTTCAAGAATCATTTGCACTGGGGCGCCTGGGCAGCTCAGTTGGTTAAGTGTTCAGCTCAGGTCATGATCTCGGGGTCCTGGAATGGAGCCCTGCATCGGGCTCCCTGCAGGGCAGGGAGTCTGCTTCTCCCTCACCTTCTGCTCCTCCCTTCTGCTCATGCTCTCTCTTTCTCTCTCTCTGAAAAAAAAAAAAAGAGAGAGAGAAAAGAACCTTTTGCTCTTTACAAAATAGGTATATGTTTGGACCTTGCCTGTTACAGTGAAAACGACCAGACATGTGTGTGTTTTGTTTTCTAGGGAGATGTGCATCCAACAGGATGGGAGAATTCATCTCACCGTTGTTTATTTTGGGAAGGAAGAAATGAATGAGGTCAAAGGCATACTTGAAAACACTTCCAAGTAAGTACGACGAGGAGACATAATAAGGAGTCATAGTATCTGACCTCAGGAGTCTATATCTGAGGCTGGAACCTCTGCTTCGGTTTTATGTTCCTTAACACTCTGGGTCAACCGGGAGATGGACTGGCTGCTGGCTGTGCTAGGGGGAATTGTGCACCCCCGTCCCTGGGAGACCACCCCACCTGACACTGGCCCTCACTGCACAGGGTGTTGGCTTTGGCAGTTGAGATGAAGTGCCCTGAGCTACAAGGATGGGGGCTGGGGGCACAGGCCTCTTTGGGCTTCTGCGTGAGAGGGTGTCGTCAGCACTGCCGATGTGGGACCCGGTGTCACAGAGTGGGAATTGGGGGCCGCGCAGCTGCGCGGTGAGCTCCAACTGAGTGATGTCCGTCCTGGGGTTTCCTCCACTTAGCAAATGGTCTTACCCTTTTGACTTTCATTCAGTACGCATTTTGAAAGATGAGGGGGAAGCGGGAAGTGATGGCTGGGACAGGACCCTGGATGAAGCCTGTGCAGTTGAACAGAAACGACTTAACCAAAAACCTTAGACTGAGGGTTGTATGCGTATACTTCATTGATCAGTTGTGTGGGGGAATGAACGAAAGCAGCGCAGATGGTTTTCTTCCCTCCCCAAATAAACAAGCAAGTATTGATTTAATAAACACCTGGGGCATCTTCTACTAGTGAGGAAGCCAGAATGGTGCCCCCACACCGTGCTCTGGTTTTCCAGGGAGGTTTGCAGGGCTTCGCTTGAGTAATCAGGTGGGTAGTTTCTCCTTAGTGAAGCTTGGAGGGAGGTCCGTAGTACTGGGTGGCAGAAATAGCCTCAAAAGGTCCATATGGTCTAAATATAAACAGGGCCCCTGTTTTGAGTTTCTGGTAAATGGTTATAAGATTACAAGATTGACTGCCCCTTTTGTATTTATGTTCACACTTTGTTACTAAGTTGGTATTAATGGGCACAAGATCAGAATGCTTATTACAATTACTCAAACGTTCTAAAGCAGTCCACTGGTCTTATTTATGTAAAAAAAGAAAAAGTTGTATTGAAATGCAGGCATCCCCATTTCTTTACATATTATTTATATCTGCTTTTGTGCTGCAGCAGAGTTGTGTAGTTGTGACAGAAACTGTACGACTGGGGCGCCTGGGTGGCTCAGTCGTTAAGCGTCTGCCTTCGGCTCAGGTGGTGATCCCGGGGTCCTGGGATCGAGCCCCGCATTGGGCTCTCTGCTCTGTGGGAAGCCTGCTTCTCCCTCTCCCACTCCCCCTGCTTGTGTTCCCTCTCTCGCTGTGTCTCTCTCTGTCTGTCAAATAAATAAAATCTTAAAAAAAAAAAAAGGAAAGAAACTCTATGACTTGCAAATCCCGAACTCTCTACCGTCTGGTCCTTTACAGAAAAGGTTTGCTGACCTCTGTTCTAAAGCAATATGGAATTCGGAGTTTATAGGCCCCTGTCGAAGGGAGATCAAAGAGAATAGAATAATTGAATATCCTAAATGTAAGTGAAATAGAAACCTCTCAACTCCAGTGCATTGCAATATCCTTTTCGTCTCTGCTTAGGAACGAGGCCCAGGAGTTCATGTCCTCTGCCCAGTGGATAGGTTCCATCATCTCTGGAAGTATCCATTCCTGGGCATGGATTTCTCTTTTAAGTTTCCCAGACGATTCTAACATGCAGCCAGGATTGAGAGTCATTGTCTGAGAAAGTGGTAGTCCACCCTAGGGGCTCAGGCATGAGAGGCCTCGACTGCAGCCAGCTGCCCCATTCTGAGGTGTTTTTGAGTAGTTATCCAGGTGACTCTGAAGTGTAGTCAGGACTGAGAAATTCAGTCCTATTGGGTCTGGCACCTTCTGAGCACTTTAAAGGACATTTGCTGATGGATACATATAACCAACTTGACATGAGTCTGATGGATAAGTGGAAGGCCAGTTTCAATGTTGTTATGAGAAATATCCATTTTACTGACTGGAAGGCTTAAGGACTCTTACTATCAAGGCATTCTTCTCTGTATCAAATTACCTGGCGAGCTGAATTCTCAAGCAGAAGGTTGCTGGGTGAGCAAAGAATGAATAGAATCTGAACAAGAAAAGTAGAATCATTTCAGTGGTAAGAATGGTTTACTTAAAATTTTGGAAAATTTCCAGAGATCAATCTACCCATAACCAAGAACTTTGTGTCGGAGACTGAGCTGTTCGATGCTTTAACACAGTGCTACAAAACTCTGGTGAAATGAATTGGAACCCCGTTTTTCTGTGTTGATGCTCTCGTTCTGCTAACTGGGGATATCTGCAGTGCTGAGGCCTCTGATGCTTTGGGGGGTGTCCTCCGCTCTCCCTGGTGTTGCTCTGATCAGACCACCTCCTGTAGGAATGCCCCACCCTCTGCAGCCAGGCCTGGGCTGACTGAACACAGCAGCACTGCCACTCCACCTTCCAGATCAGTCTTCCTAATCACCTACTGCCCTAGGCTCCTACCCAGACTGGCTCTCACTTGTAACCTTGCCTTGATGACTTCCTGTCCCCGACCGCACTGGGGGGCGTGGTTTGCCCCTTCGTCCTCCCTCCCATTATCGTCTTCAACTTGGTGATCTGTTGTCCTCCTTTCTCCGTACTCAGACGGCCACACTGTCGTCCCCACGCCCCCACCTGACCTCCAGTCCTCTCTCTGAACTCAGACTGTACTCCCTGCTGGCATCCCGTCTGCTTGGCACTCGGCATATGATTTGGTTATATGATCAGCACTGCCGATTTCGGGATTTATAAGCCAATTTATAAGCTGCTTAGTAAGCAAGTAGTACCATATCACGTGGCTCTTTGTAACTCCAGCTTAGGGCCTTACTCAGAAAATGTCCAGTGTTTGTTCCTCAAGAGAAGAGCACCTGAATGGCACAGTCGGTTAAGCATTCAACTCTTGGTTTTGGCTCAGGTCATGATCTCAGGGTCCTGGGATGGAGCCCCACGCTGGGCTCCGTGCTCAGCATGGAGTCTGCTTAAGATCCTCTTTCTCCTTCCCCTCTGGCCTTCCCCCTCATGCTGTCTCTCTCTCTCTAAAATAAATAAAATCTTTAAAAAAAGAGGAGGATAATTCCACATACACAGTATATTTATGCTCCTAGTAATCCATATGAACACTTATATAATGAGCCCTATTTAAATGTCATTTTTATCATTAAGGTGGTAAAACTTTTGTTCAAATGCATCTTATCTTTGAATAATAATAGTAACTGTTCTTATTTACATGAATTATCTTCTTTATTATTCACAGCAACCTTATGAGATAGTTGCTATTATTAGCCCCGTTCATAGATGAAGGACCTGGGGCTTGGAGACATTGTTACTCAGGCTGCCATGCCCCGCACAGGGGCGAGCCAGGATCTGAACCTCCGCTGTGAACTGGAGATACTCCAGGTCTCAACATGGCACATTTCCTCTTCAGTGTACTCCCTTCTGAAACTCATAATTGTCAGTTGAAAGTAATAAGATTTGAAATCAGCCTAAGTGATATTTATTTCATTAGGATACCAGCATTGTGATTAATCTGTTCGAAATGCAGCTAAATGTATATATGTTAAGAATAGCTTTTTAAAATCTAGTTTGGCTCATGTGCAGTGTTTTCCTCTCTCTGTCTCTAGATTTACGTTTACTCAGTTGAGCTTTACATTTCAGTTGATGGCTATAGATTAGTGTTTTAGAAATTGCAATTTGTGATTCATTAGAGGGTTGTGTAATAGCTTTAGTGAGTTATGTCCAGTGTTTTTAAAAACGTTGAAATAGAATAGGCTAGAAGATATCAGAGTGCATCACAAGTAGTAAGGGTAAATACTGTTTTGTAAAACTTTAGTGTGTTTGTGTCTAGTATGTCATGATGTATAATATATTCCTTTGTATGGGTGGCAGTCAAAATATTTAGAAACCACTGCCATGGATAAAAGTACAAATCAGTTCTTGGTATCTGATTCTTATTCCATAGTTTTCCATACTAAGCTGCAGTTAATTTCAGATTAAAGCCTCACTTGGTGATTCTCAAATATAAATGTGCTTGGGAATAACCTGGGGTGCTTTTTTTTAAAAAATTTTTATTTGAGAGAGATGGAGATAGTGAGAGAGAGCACAAGCGGGAAGGAGGGGGAGAAGCAGATTCCCTGCTGAGCAGGGAGCCTGATGTGGGACTCAATCCCAGGACCCTGGGATCATGACCTGAGCCAAAGGCAGATGCTTAACCAACTGAGCCACCCAGGTACCCCCTGGGGTGCTTTTTAAAATGCAGATTCCTGGGATCCAGGTCCAGAAATTCTGAGTCAGTAGGCCTGAGATGTAGAAGCTTGGTAACTGACACTTAGGATGAGTCCCACATGTGATGGTGATGTGGGTGGTCCATAGCCCACAGTGAGAAATGCTGACCTAGGTAGACATTTGCTTGGAGCTATGTATTAGGAAATTTTAAAAAATTGTAACAGGTAGGCAGATTGGCATGAGTTAACATTTACTATATTGCAGCTTCATCTTTGTCCAATCATAAGGATACAAAGGCATCTTTCAGAGGTATTACCTCTGAGATCAAAGTCCTAGGGATGAGACCCTACCCTGTCATTGCAAGTATGTGACCTAAGAGAGGGGTTTTTCTGTATGTCTTCTTGGGGACCTGCCTCTGTTAGTTTTTGTGTCATCATTTCATGCCTCTTTGAAAGGATTTTTTCTTTAAGATTTTATTTATTTATTTGAGAGAAAGAAAGAGCACAAGCAGGGGGAGGGGCAGAGGGAAAGAGAGAAGCAGACTCACTGCGGGGCTCGACCCCAGAACCCTGGGATCATGACCTGAGCCAAAAGCAGATGCTTAACCAACTGAGCCACCCAGGTGCCCCTGAAAGGATTTGCTTGACACGTACCCTCAGGAAAATTTTTTTCAGGACATCCCAGAAGAAAACTGGGGAGGAAGGTTTTATTCTGGTTTGTTTTATTTCAATTTATTTCTAAAATTAGAACAAAATTGTTGCTTT